TTTTGCAAATCCCTGCAGCCAGTGCTCAATCCCAATCAATGGAGGCGTCCAAACAGGAAGCACTTTCGAGAAAAGCCTGCACCACATGGAGGCCCAAAGCGTGCCCGTCATCGAGCCTAGAAACCTTTGCAAGTGATGCAAGTGTGGGTGCACAACGAATGTGTTGCGATGGATTCTTTGTTTCCCAAGCTCAGCAGAAATGTCGATGTGTTACTTCTGAACTTGGATGCACTTGGCATTCGGGCCCTATGGAGAGAGGCCGGCGCTCTCTCGTAGTGAGGTGTGCCACAAAGGCATTGAAGCCCTACACCCATGACGATCAAATTTCCAACAAGGACACGAGAAATATGTTACCAGAATGAAATTGCCCTTGTGTGGAGCAGAAAACATTGCAGGCCAAGAAAAAGCTTACAAGGACTTGTGCTGCTTCAATGGCTCCAAGTGTGAATCTGAAGGACCAAGAACGATCAAGACAAAGTGAGAGTAAATCCCAGGTGGAACCTGAGTCTTAATCTAGAAGTGGGATACTCAAACTCAAACTCAGGGTGACGACTACAGTCTTCTACATTACAAGTCAAACAGTCAAACAAGCACTTCCAGTAACCCCTAGCTGCCCTAGCTGCCTTCAAGGAGCAAAGCGCTCCTAAAATACAGGCAGAACCTGTTGTAAAGACGCACGCAAACCTTGGTCATTGGCATTGCCCATGCAACAATTCTGAAGTCTGCTCTCTGCCCGCGGTGATTCGAGGAAAGCCAGTTTCCTTGCAGAAAGATCGACAACAAACATCAACAAACAGGAAGCAACTCATGAGATCCAGGCGGTTTTGTTTTGCACCCTCTGAGCCAAGAGAATGTTTGCAATTCATGCGAGAAAAAATACAACGACACTGTTGAGAGAGTAAACGCTCAAACAAAGGCTTCAACGGGACAATTCAAGGACACTCTTGAAGCAGACCAAAGATTGTCAACATAAAGAAAGGCGACAGTCCGAGTTTTCTTGTCAAGAAGCTTTTGTGGTGCGAGGAGCAGCATGGGCAACGATGCAAAGGATGCAGCCTCAGCAGACTGAAAACCATGAGCATCTTCGACGTGGCCAACTCCACAAGCAGTGTGCTTTCGAGGGCGCTGACCATCAGTAGCCCACCCAAGACGAGTAAGACGAAGAATGTTATCCACCTGAGCCAAAGCCCATAACAGCGCGCTGAGCAAACACAACAGACTTAGATAAAAATTGGAAAGGTGCCTTCCCTGGCATTTGATTCAAGAAATCTGTGTGCCGCCCAGGAGCGCTTGGGTGCTGATTGTTGCAGCCTGTCCGTGTCCATTCTTCCGTCGGTATGATTTCTCCAGGTATCATCAAAAACAAAAATTCACGCGCACGTCAGCACAACTCAATAGACAGTCAAGCAAACCATTTTTCCCCACAACTTTGTATGGGGTTCTTGTTTTTGATTCTGTATCCCGAGCCTCCTCCGTCCGCCCGCCTCCGCCTACCACAAACTTACCTTTGTCACAGACCATCTTTCACATACATAAACTTCACGCACACACACACAAACTTAACACACAACTTTGTCACATAATATCTGTCACATACATAAACTTAACACACAACTTTGTCACATACCATCTGTCACATACATAAACTTCACACACACACAAACTTCACACACAACTTTGTCACATACCATCTGTCACATACATAAACTTCACACACACACAAACTTAACACACAACTTTGTTACATACCATCTGTTGCGTGGCAGCCGTCACTTGGTGACATCCCCCGTTGTTTCACGTGGCAGGCGTGGCACCATCTCACATTCACCTTGGTGTTGCGTGGCAGGATGTGGCAGGCGTGGCGGCAGGCGTGGCGCTCATGGCACTGGGAGGCGCGCTTGGGCCCGATTTAGTCGCGCGTGACGCCGCGGCACTTTGCGTGGCAGGCGTGCTTGGTGACATCCACCTTCGTTTCACGTGGCAGGCGTGGCACCATCTCACATTCACCTTGGTTTTGCGTGGCAGGCGTGGCACTCGTGGCACTGGGTGGCGCGCTTGGGCCCGATTTAGTCGCGCGTGACGCCGCGGCACTTTGCGTGGCAGGCGTGGCACTTGATGACATCCACCTTCGTTTCACGTGGCAGGCGTGGCATCTTCTCACATTCACCTTGGTTTCGCGTGGCAGGCGTGGCACTCATGGCACTGGGTGGCGTGCTTGGTTAGTCGCGCGTGACGCCACGGCACTTTGCGTGGCAGGCGTGGCGCTTGGTGACATCTACGTTCGTTTGACGTGGCAGGCGTGGGCACCATCTCACGTTCACCTTGGTTTTGCGTGGCAGGCTTGGTACTCATGGCACTGGGTGGCGCGCTTGGGCCCGCTTTAGTCGCGCGTGACGCCGCGGCACTTTGCGTGGCAGGCGTGGCACTTGGTGACATCCACCTTCGTTTCACGTGGCAGGCGTGGCAGAAGGAGACATCCACCTTGGTTTTGCGTGGCAGGCGTGGCACCATCTTTGACACACCCTCTTTCACACACCACTTTGTCACACACCATCTTTCACACCCAACTTTGTCACCCACCATCTTTCACGCACCATCTTTCACACACCACTTTGTCACCCACCATCTTTGACACCATCTTTCACACACAACTTTGTCACACACACACACCATCACACACAACTGTTTTAACTTCTCGATCCTTCACCGCCTCCTTTCCATTTCCTTCCTTCCCCGTCCCTGCTACAACCTTTGATGCTCATTATTGGAAGAAGTTGACTTGTGGGGTTATCCGGTCCTTTAATTTTGGTAATTCACGCGCCTGCATGGCGAATCCCATATGACCACCAATCATCCCACCAGCACGATCAGCCACACCCTTCATGCCTCGAGGGCAACAACAAGCTCTCTCACCGGTAAGTCATTGGGTTTGTTGCAAGTGGGAAGAAGTCCTGACAGAAATTGCTGGGTCCCCGGCTTTGTTGAGCATAGCCGGCATAAGCAAGCAGCCCCTGACCAAAACACTTGAACATCTGTGTTCATAGTATCTGTGGGATTGTCCCCAAGGTACCAAGCATACTGTGCGTACTTTACATTTGCGTGCGCATGTATGTATGTATGTAAGTATGTATGTCTGTATGTATGTCTGTCTGTATGTATGCATGTGTATGTATGTCTGTCTGTATGTCTGTATGTATGTATGTCTGTCTGTATGTATGTCTGTCTGTATGTTTGTATGTCTGTATGTCTGTATGTCTGAATGTCTGTATGTCTGTATGTCTGATCTATCTATCTATCTATCTATCTATCTATCTATGTATCTATCTATGTATCTATCTATGTATCTATCTGTGTATCTATCTATGTATCTATCTATCTATGTATGTATGTCTGTATGTATGTCTGTATGTCTGTATGTATGTATATATGTCTGTATGTCTGTCTGGCTGTCTGGCTGTCTGGCTGTCTGGCTGTCTGTCTGCCTGTCTGTCTGTCTGTATGTGTGTATGTGTGTATGCGTGTATGTGTGTATGTGTGTATGTGTGTATGCATTGCATTGCATTGCATTGATTTGCATTTGCATTTGCATTTGCATTTGCATTTGCATTTGCATTTGCATTGCGTTGCATGCATATATACATATATGCATATATGCATATATGCATATATCATATTCGTATATTATCTTTATATACTGCATGCAGAAATATGTGCGTAATCAATGTGCGCTTTCAACACCTTTGTTGTTTTTTCCTCGTCATCCCGGCGAAAGGAAGACCCAGCATCCTTTGTCAACCATGCAAGCAAATATAGCTTGAATGGCAGACAGGAGAATCACCAGCATTCATGCAGCCGAGACGAACTGTTCAACGAACTCATGACAATCTGCACTGGCCATGTGAACCTCAGTCTTGAATGTGATGACCCCTTCGTGTGAATCCAAGCCCCACGATAATATTCTAACATGGATCTGGTATGCGGTATGCGTGCTAGTGATCGTAGCTCCCATTGGTGACGTTGATGAGTCTTGGTGCATGATGGTGACGGAAGATGCCTCTGCAGAACACCCAAGCTGTCCTTCTGGACAGCTCGGATTCAGGTGGAAGCCATGCTGCTTGCGCATTCTATGAAATGACCACAATTAGAAATTTGAAACAATTGACATGCTTTCCTCTTGCATACATTATTAATCCACTCATATCCACTCGTAGCAGAAAATTGCATTGCGTTTATATTTGCCCACGGAGACAAGGGAGCACATCTCCACATATCGAGGGTTGAACACAGGTTCAGTCTTCACAGGCTCTCCACCTAGTGTGGAACTGGCTCTCACTGCTCTTGCCTGGAAGTGCAAGGCGCGTTATTTCAAGATTCGACTATTGATTGAGGCACAATTTCCATCTCCATTTGACTGTTGGAAAACATTGACTGACCGCCTCATTGATGCCTCAACATCCCGAAACTGCCCATGTACCAGGTGGACCGCCTTAGTGAGCATCATACTTGACCCTGCTGCTGTAGGTGCGCCTGTCAGCTGATGAAAAGGGCACGATTGCATCACAATGAATTGTGATAGCTGCAAAAGCTCTTGCCTTCAGGGCTTGGCCCCCAGAAAAACGAAATTGCATTTGAGCTGATGATGAATTGCAAGAAACATTGGAACTTTCAACCTGATTATGTACACATGAGAAAAGAAAAGTTCAAGATAGTTCAAGCATGTCTTTGGTGAGCCTCTCTGTTGCTGGAACTGCAGGTGGTACCTTAGGAATCACTCACCCCTAGCATCCCCTAGCACTCATCCCTCATGCTCACACATCATCCAAGTCCCATGCCCCCAAGTGCTCCGTTGGCTTCTGAGACCGTCCCTTGCCTCACGAGGCGTCCAATAATTCTGTTGGCAATGATGCTCTCAATGTCAATTCACCATGTGGTCGAAACGGCTGTCGAGAGGCAAAGAGATTAAACAATGTGGAGCTGCATTCAAGGAAAACATAGGAAAACTATATACTGGCCCAACCAGGCGAAGCAGGGCAGTAGTCGCAGTACATCCTTCTTCTGGCTCGCAGGCAAATGCACAGTGGGTGTTGGCAGTCTCCCAAATCCCCACCTGCTCCTTTGGACTTGCGCACCAGAAAAGCCTGACCGAGTCTAATTATGCACATTCCAATTTTCGGAAAGCAGGTGCCGGGCATGATCGCCGAACTCATGCACGCAAATATCAGCAAGAAATGCCTTCCCAGAAGTCAGCTTGAAGAGATTCCTCACCTGAACTGCTCTATCGCTGAGTATTTCCCCTCGCATGGACCACGAACTATAACAATCCCTCATCCTCAAAAGTTGGCTCACCGCTCTACCACTTGCTGAGACATGCAAACATCTGCACTGTGCATCTGACGTAGAGCTTCTTGTCTGATGATTTGGCACCACCAGTAGTGCACCGGGCACTTGCTCCCTGGAAGAGTTTGACCTCCCGCATGCTGACAGCCTTGTCCTGGCAAACTGACAGATGTGACAGGTTCCTTGCTGGACACGACGTTGAATGAGCCACGGCGGCCATGGGCAAAGGCTTGTTGGGTCCTTGCTTTGATGTGTATAGAGTAGCCTGGCAAGAGATACTCGCTCCTCCATATTTTCCTTGGATTGAAACAAACTTTACAGTAGTGTAAACACTCAATGCAAAGTCAAGGCAACTCGAGCACAAAAAACTGCGCAAACCGCATGAAACAATTTCAACTGGACACAAGCTCAGGCAGCTCAGGGCACACAAAGGATCACACCATCCCAAAATGCAAACATTCTTTCGGTCACTGCTGGCAAGCAGCTGGTTCCAGAAGCGTCTGCACTGTGCCGTCACTGAGCTTCTCCGTTAGTAACGTGGTGCCCGAGTCAGTCTCAAGTACCAGGAAGTACTGGCAGTAGTCCTGGTGTGAATGCACCAGAATCTAGGCCTTCAGACATTTATCAGCTGAGTTGCGGTAGGAAGCAGATTTAAATGGAATCTTTCCACTTGTCCCGTTGCTCTTTGCCAAAACTGGTGACTACCAATATGTAACAACCTTATATGTCCTTACATCTTTTCTTCAGCCTGTCCATAGACCAAAGAATGATCAAGAATGATCAAGAATGATCAAGAATGATCAAGAATGATCAAGAATGATCAAGAATGATCAAGAATGATCAAGAATGATCAAGAATGATCAAGAATGATCAAGAATGATCAAGACATCAAACAGCTTTCACGACTCGGCTTGGGCGCTCCATCTTTTGGCTGCGCCAGGGAGCGTCCAGCTCCTCCTGCGGCTCAGCTGCGCAGCCCTGGATTGACCTAAGGAGATCAGCGCATGGCACAACATCGTTAAACAAGGAGCGAGAACATCGAGAACTTCATAGAACTTCTACATATTCACAAAACATAAGAAAACTGCACAATACTTCATCTATTCTCTATACCGGTTGGAACAAGCCAAGAAAAACTAATGTTGAATCCTCCCAGCAAAGGACCTCGGCCCTTAGTAGTGAAAAGCTCAGTGACTCAGCGACCACTTTGACGAAGAAACACAAGTGGAACAACAGACTGCTTGCGTTCGCCAAAGCTTGTGCTTCATTTAGAACAAAATGTGCACCCCAGCATGTCATGCAGGAACTAAATGCGCCACAAGCGACTCAACAGCACTGAGCATGGGACCGGGTGAGGCTGCTGATGGTGTCAACTGCCTCAACATACCTCAGTGCAACAAAGCACACGACAAAGGCAATACTGCCAGTGAAAGGCACAGAAATGAAAATAGGCATTGTGCCCTGCGGTGTGCATTGCAATATTTCTCCGAGTTACATTTTCACTTGCACCACTTTCTCGGCATCTGCAGCCTCACAGTCTGAGATCTTAGACTGTCTTCGGCTAAATGTTTGAACATCACTCAACGTCGCTTCAGAGTAATTAAAGCCTTTAAAGCCTAATCTTTCATCTCTACTCCTCTGCCCTGCATCATTCCGCAGCGCCTCCTTGCAACCCCTCTTGGCAGTCCATGTAGTGGGGCGCATGGAAAACATGGCGATGATATTCTCGGTGCTTGAAGGCTCCTGATTCCAACCACGACATCGGCACTGTTGCGACTCCTTCTGTGACCTGGACTCTCAGTAAAACACTGCTAATGTTAATTGGCATTTCAGCGACCTGTCCTGCATCGTACGGACTTCAATGGTTCCAAAGCGGTAGATACGATAAGCCGTGCCATCTTCCGTGCTCTTGTCGAAGACAGGGGCAGCATCCGGCAGTACTTCCTTCCAGTAAATGCAAATGCCGCTGACCGGCATAGTAAGCAAACAACCATCCATGGATCTTATCCAAGAAGTTCAAACCATTTCATTAGACTTCTGGGTTCCATGCTCCCAAGCACACCTGTATGTTACAAAGTGTTGAACCAGTTTCACCTCTTTCCTCTCATGTTTCGTAGGTCCTTGGCGATCAGTCTCTGGAAGTCAGCAGTCATTGCCAGCTGCACCAAGCCAGACTTCAAGGCTTTCTTGACCAGTCCAGCGGAAAGGCCCTGGTAAGCACAGCAAGATGCAGCAAGTAAGAGACGTCCTAGTTCCGCGAAGTGAGACTGAACATGCTGAGACAAAAATTGAAAGCACGGCAATTTTTCAATTCTGCAAAGTTCTGCAAAGTTCTGCAATATGCCTGCTCCAGCTGGAAATTTGATGTCCAGTATCTTGGAAATGCGCTTCCAGGATCCTCTGGGATGAATGCAGCGTCACAGAATATAGCCTTGCGCTTCTGGCGCAACATGTCCTGCAAGCTTTAAACATATCTTGGAACTCTTGGAACTTGATGCCTACGGGATCCTAAGGCCCTAAAATTGCCGAAAGCACTTCCCTGAAGGCAGCATGTACAATTGGAGATGAAATGAGAACTACTTGGTGAACTGCACTCTGAACATGTAAGACCACATGGCTGCATGGCTCAGCTTCTCAGCTTTTCCATGACCGAGCTGCAGAGCCAAATTTGGTGCGGGATGTTTCTTCTTTCCACTCACTCCGCTTATGATGCAAAAATCAAAAATATAGAAACATCTTGAAAGATTGAGTTATTCATTTGTATGTAACATATCATATACATGTGTAACATATGTATGTCTGTTCTTGATGTTTCTCCGTTGAACGGTAAAAAAACACATAAAATATTAAAGAGCTTCTGCACAGTATCCTCCTCGCTAACCAAGGCCCTCAACTTGGTCACGTACTTCATGTCCTTAGACGGAAATCTGTGTGGCCAGGTATCAACAAATTCCTACAGCCAAAGCGTGACAGGACGTCCTACCAGCAGGATCCCGTACCATGTTGGGTTCAGGCTGCATTCAAAACGAGTCTGTAGAAAATAATCTACGCCTAAATGCGCGTCCCAGACAAGTGGCAGGATCTGGGGGTACAAAGGCGTCAGCCTCTGCCAACCTGTCTGAAAGCTGCTCCTGTTTGCCAATTGCGCCAATCTTTTTAAGAGCAACACTGATGGGAAAGCCATGGAAAGCCACTTGGCTTCGAACAAACATTGAATTGAGACATTGATTGGTCAGCCATGGTCAGCCGACTCCAAATCGCTTGTTTAGATTAGCACAAGAACCGTGTTGCGTTTTTGACCCAATGGAAAACATTGAAAAACAAGGTCCCCTGTTGCTGCTGATTGCTCCTAGACAATTCGGAGCCACCCAGGAACTCTCAGTCCTTGTAGAGACTCGTGAAGAGCTGCCTGTCCTCTGCTTTGAATGCCGTCCCTTGCAGGCCTTGCAAAAAGGCCAGGCCCAATGGCACGCGCGCCTTGCAGCAGTTGTGTGTCAACATGCTCTGTTTCAACAAAAGCTGCAACAAGTGGAAGTTTCATGAAGTTGGCATTTGCAAACTTATTGCGGTTTACCTCCAAGGAATCCAATGAAGCGCTGCAGCTTGGCGTGTTCGCTGCAAACCGCTCTGGGGCTGAGAGGTCGAACTGGTCGAGATTCAAGTCGACGCCCTTGAAGCACAGCAAATGAATGACCAAACGCATCATATGAAGAACGCTCTAAACTCTAAATGTAAGATTCAACTTCCACACATCTTCCACACATCTCCCACACTTCTTCCACGCTTCTCCCATCCTGCCATACCCTGCCTGTGGCTGCTCTGCTGGCGCTGGGGCGGCTGGCCGTTGCGTCAGCTGGAAACGGGAGGGCGCAAAGCCAGGCCGTGCTGTGGGGCCCAGCTGCATGCCCTGCAGTCCGCCAACCATGGTGGAGCCTCCAGCACCCACAGGCCTCTCAGGTAACTTCGCACAGAGAAACATAGGGAAAACATGGGAAAACGATGGAAAACATGAGAAAATTGGCAGGGGCACCACAAAAGGTTGAGGTCCTTGAGATGTGGTAAACTTGAAATATTCGTTGAGATTCATCATGTAGCGCCAATCTCCAAATAATTTGGCCATTAGTGAATGTGCAAGTGAAACATTTTCACCAACACAAACAACGCTTCATCATCCCACCTGAGCGTGTGGCGCTGAGCAAGTTCGAAGCGGTCCAGGCCAAACTCGATGCCGCCATAGACACTTGTGAGATAACCTTGGTGTGTCATGTCAAATGGACCTACATGGACCTGCATGGACCTGCATGGACCTGCATGGACCTGCATGGACCTGCATGGACCTGCATGGACCTGCATGGACCTGCATGGACCTGCATGGACCTGCATGGACCTGCATGGACCTGCATGGACCTGCCATCGGTTGGCAGCTCATACTAATTCATACCGATGTTTTTCTTCGTGAATCCATCCATCTGCCAGAATTTCCCAAAGCTGTGCCAGGGGGCATTGCCCCGTTTGAGAATTCACCATTTTGCCATCTCTCACCTGGCGAAAAGCTTACGAGACATCATGAATATATGATAATATAATACAATACAATACAATACAATACAATATAATATATATAATATAATATAATATAAAATATAATATAAAATATAATATAAAATATAATATAAAATATAATATAAAATATAATATTATATTATATATGTGTTGTTGTGATCTGGTCGGATGGGCTACTGGAAGAGACACCAGGGACAAGGCAAAGGCAGGCAATCAAGAGCGACCGACATAATGTGTGTAGGAAAGTGTGCACTCCCATCCCAATGATCTTTGGGAGAGTCAGGCCCACATCAAATGCAGAAATGTGCCTGGATGCGGCTTTGACCCCGCATATTCCAAAGCTGTGGGATCTGCTTGTTCACTGTCTTCGCTGATTCCACCAATTCATCTGCAAGGTGCCACCACTCCTACGGGCTCCAAAACAGTCTACAGATGTCTACAGTAACTCAGCCAGCCCCTTTTGGAGCAAGTGTTGCACTGGGAAATAACCGGAGTGTTTTCCTCAAGCCTTTTGAAGCAAGAGAATAAAACGGCTTTGATCCTACTAAGAACCCTTTCCAGGAGCCTGAGGAACGCTTGTACTGGAGTCAACGAGGAACTTTGCCATCGCGGAAGCCTGGCTGATATCAGCAAGAAACAATTGACAGAATGCCACAGCAGTGCCACAGCAGTGCCACAGCAGTGCCACAGCAGTGCCACAGCAGTGCCACAGCAGTGCCACAGCATACTACGTTTCAGCTTTCTTCTTTCGAAGTGATGAGGGCAAATCCATGCCGGCACTCGTGCAATCGTTGTTTGCTTCGTTTGCTTCTACTCAATGCAAAACCAAAACACAGCTGCTCTAGTCACAAACACAAATCTCAACATTTGATTTCCCAGCCTTCGCAAGTTCTCGGAGCTGAAAGATCACATCTTTGCGTTCCGCAATGAGATCGAAATTCCTACAGCGTGTAGCGCAAGTACTGTACAAGAAAGTACTGTATATACTGTATATACAAGAATCCGAGGGGCTTGGCTCCAATACCAACTATATCTTGGGGGCTACCCGAACCCCAAATTAAGAAAGTGATCAGAATTTGAGGGACCATCACCTTTTTTATACATCCCCAAAGCTGTTGACAATTGAAGAAGTTCTTGTCAACTTTGTGATCTATTAGAATACATTCAACACAAATTAGCAAAGCTATGACTCAGGGTATGATCTTCTCAGTGAACAAGGAAACACTCTGTCTCGACCCTCCAAACAACACACAGCCAATGGTAGTGATATGGCAAAACTCTCAATTCTGGAGGCAGTTTCCTACTTCAGCCCAGGCTCTTGCTGAAGCTTTCAGCAAACTTCCTGGAGTTGGCAAACAAACGAGTGAACAAGCTGTAACGCTGTAACAAGCTTCAATTTCTTCTCGTTCTTGATTCTTGGTGGTGTGCCTTTGACTTCAAGCCAATCCCTATTCAACTCGAACCTAAAACAGAAAAAAAAGTTGACAAACCTTCAGCGGTGCAACCAAATGTCTTGGCAAATGTACTAAGTTTTGGAGAAACTTTGTGTGGCAAGCAACCACAAACAAAACATGGAGTCCTGAGAGGATGATTCTTGCTGGTGATAGCGGAATCTTCGAGGCCACCATCGCGACAGACTTGGGTTCTTGCCTCGACGCCCATCTTCACGCTTGGGATCAAAGTGTTGTCTCCTGCCAGCTTCACTTCTGCCTGGCCAATGGACCACAGGGACAATCGCAATGCAGAAGCAACCTGATTGAACCTGATTGAACCTGATTGAACCTGATTGAACCTGATTGAACCTGATTGAACCTGATTGAACCTGATTGAACCCTTCAATCCATGTCACTTTAATTTTGGCAGATCCAGCAAGACGCTGCCTCACTAGAAGCCACGCCTTGTTGACGACGAACCACTCACGCCCCGTCCAACCACCCTTGACATTGTCGGCTTCAGACCAATCAAAGACGCTCATCATGCCCAGAACTGGCATAGTGTGCCTAAGACGAAAAGCTGAAACTCACATCTTTGCTCGATTCTGCTAGCAGCACATGGTCGCAAACGTGAAGAAGACTGGCAGTGATGGAGTGGAAGGTGCTTTGATGCAAAGGCCATTGATTTGGAAAGCTATGGAAAGCTCAAGTGCAAAGGACTGCATGGGACTTGAGTGGCTCAAGGCTTGTCTCTCCCTATCGCTGTATTCTGTCCGTGGAGTTGTCAACATCCTTTTGGTCACCTGATTTCTCCCAAATTTCCTGAACAATCCTTAACATAGCAATCTTTTTTGTGTATCAGAAAACTGATTGCATGGGGAAAACTTCAGTTAAATAGTATCTGTTGCTGATGAAGGTGCTCTCCCATGGCCAGCTCCTTCAGGTAGTAATCAGCTTGGAACATGAGCTCTCCAACGCTTGTGCCAGCAAGCCAAGAAGGCGAAAATCGCTTCTCCAGGACTGTCTTCTCAAGGTTCTCCTCAGAAAGGATTTCTTTGGACAAAACAAGGCATTGCACAGCATGAGCTCAGTCATTTTCAACTGAGAAATGACACAAACAGCTGAGCAAAGGAGGGAATGGGTATTTATCAAAGCGAGGCTATACTTTCATGCGTGCAAGAGTTTAGATAGCAAAGCTCGGTGTTTTGATCATTCTTGCGCCAATGACTCAACGAGTTTTAAGGTGTTTTAACAAGCCCCTGCAAATCTCTCTCACCAAGTTGCAGGGTTTACTGGGTCCAAAGAGAAGAGTGGCTCGCGACAGGCATGATAACGGACCTGTCACAAGCTTGTTTGCACAAACAGAAATTGAAACACGTGTCTGCTCATATCAACGTCCTTCAGTAGACTTCTTCTGGCCAAAGTGGCAGAGTAGAGACACTTGTGTTGTTCTCAATGCTGAACTCTGGAGTGCACTTTGTGTCAGATTGTGTGAGATGCATGTTTGAGATTTTCATATTCTATCATCATCTCGGAACACAATTCGTGTTGCATGCTCCAGCCTTCAGAGCCAGCATCAGGTATTCGAGGTTCACTGATGCTGCTGGCTCGGAGGTGGCACGAATCTTCACTGAACGTGCTGCTTCATCCCAAACCAAGCAACAAAGACCTGGAAAGGAAAGGCAGGTGCTCAAAACATGAAAGGGTGCCACCATGTTTAAAAATTTGTAAACGCATAGCTTCATGTACAAATATATATGAGGACTCTCTCCAAACTTCGTGGTCAGTGGCTCTCAGAAATCTTCATGAACCTGCCTTGTGGCACAGGGCTGCAATTCAACTTAGCAGCCTTGCTTGGAGTCTGGTCGAACAAATCAAGTCTGATCGTGCAGGCTTTTGCGGGGCACTCAGCTGCTATATTAGGGTGTTTGAGGAAGAGGTTTAACCAAGGCTACGATGCAAGGATTATGTAGCTGTAACTGGTCGTATACAAGTTTGGACAACATTTAAAGCAGTCCGTACTTAGCCGTCTGTGGTGAGTCTTCAGTTGTCCATCAGCAATGCAAAAGTCATTACCTTTCAGCAACCAGTAGTCACTGCAGTCAGTGGATAGAAAGTTTTGGCAAGTCCTGCCCAAATGGAGGCCGCGCGAAAGCCAATTGATGCGAAATTACTGCTGTGTGTGTTTGCTTTTGAATAGCAAAGTCTGGTCAAATCTGCCTAGACTGTGCAGGCAAAATCCAGGATCTGCTCACTTGGCAGGCCGTTTTTTTCGGACTCCGCATGTCGCCGCTGTGTTTCCACGTTTGCCATGTTTGCCAAGTGGCTGTGTTCAAATTCCTTGGCACCGTAAACTTGCCAATGCCGTGCTCAGTGCGGCTCTTCTGCTTTTTCTCTGTTTCTTCCTCAACGTAAAGAGATGCAAAGAGATTCAGAGAGAGATGCAGAGAGATGCAGAGAGATGCAGAGAGATGCAGAGAGATGCAGAGAGATGCAGAGAGATGCAGAGAGATGCAGAGAGATGCAGAGAGATGCAGATTGCCCAGCGGTGTCCTTTGGTATGGCCCCGACTCTGACAGACTCTGACAGACTCTGACATGTCATGTGACTTTTTGTAGCTTTTTGTGCCGTCCTCAACGCGCTTGGCATCCTTGTCCTTCATGCCCTGCAGCATGATCTGTCCCGCACACTCCCCGTGGAGGGAGGTAGCCTCGGTGGAAAGATCCTACGGAGGTCCTGTACCTCAAACATATGATGTTTCAGGATGATTGGGATGATTCCTTGGTGGCCCCAAAACCAACTCCCCTAATATCGCGTTGTTGGCCACTCTCCATCATGACAATCCATGAAGGAATCTTCAGAAGATCCAAGAGATGCCGGCTTACACTGGAGAATGCGCATGCCAAGCAGCTTTGCCCTGCCCAGTGTAGGAGACCTCGACAAGATTGCATGAGAAGAAAGCTGAGGCGGAGAATCTCCCACGCCCTCTTTGCTACCATTGATCCGGCGCAGACGTCCCAAATCGTCCCAACATATCCTAGTTGGTTACATGGTCTTCCAGCGGATTTGATAGCATCTCAATACCATTGACACGACATCTGCACTGGTTTCCCAGCCTCGCCCACTGGAAGCAAGCAGTGGGCCTCAGGAGACGAAGGGCTGAAATTCAGTCTTGGAATCGTCGCATCATTTCTTTTCAAATTTTCTTTTCCAAATGTCACACACGAGTCATGCCTCACTCAAGTGGTGCAAAGGAGTCAAACACAGAGTCACATGGTAAAATAGCATAAGATAGCATAAAATAGCAATGATTTTCAAAAGGCAACAGTCTGCAAGTAAGGCTGCTATCTGCAGCCAAGCGCACGCACAAAGTAATCTGCTCACCTTCGGAGTCCACGTCCCAAAGCTTTGCCTTGGTTTCAGACTCAATCTTCTGCTTTGCCTTTGTGTATCTCAGTGTATTTTCGTAAGGCTCTTACTGACCGAGCCAACAAAATGCTCAACTGGCCACATGTCATACAGTCTTTGTAGACAACAGAAAATTGTCAAGCTTCCGGTCCCTAAGAATGGCACCTGTCTTTTTTCTTTCTTCGGTCCCTTTCTCAGTACGGCCTGGTATGCAAGGATTGATGCTGTTACACCAGTGTTTGTACAGGCCTTCGTAAATGTCAGCACGTCGAGAATGGGAATCAGTGCAAATTGTGATACCATGTGATACCCAAGCCGCCCTCTTACCAATATGTGTAAGCTCAATTTCGACTCTGGTTTCGTGTTCTGGTTGTTTTTCAGAAAGCATTCGACAACTCTGCCTGCAAGTCCTGCATATCAAACTCCTTCTTGTCGTTTGTGGCTTCGCCGGAATACCATGGAAATGCTCTGCGGTTGTATCCTGTGGCAAAGGTTTGGACACGAAATGCACGGTATGCTTCATGGAATTTGGATTTGATTCCTTCAGGGAAGTCTTCGGGATGAACATCCCAAACTCAGTGCTTGGAATGTTCTCTTGCAATCCTCCAGCGACTCCAGCAGCTACTGGTATTACCAATATCCTTCAGAGGTTCGTCTATGTCATGTTTGTGATTTCCTTCACACACAAATAAGTGCAAGTAGCTGGCTTGACATTGTTCATGACGGATTAACTTTTGCAGCACCACTCTCAGAATCTTAAAGAGTAACACTTGGATTTTTTTCCGCATGAAAACCATGTTCTCTCAAGACCTGCATGCCACTGCCAGGAGGTCCTGTTGCAATTTGCTTTGAAAACTGCATCGATTATGGGGGCTTCATGGACACTCTTAGAAACTTAGCTTGACCCCTGTCGGCACCTTGAACCTCGCCATCGCGAGACTCTCCAAACTTCTCTGCGTAGGCACGCAATGCCTCCTCCACCTGATATCATGACGTCACCACTCCGGATCTCCCTGATCCTTGGGATTCCATGGAATACTCCTTGCTAATCGATGATATAGTCTTTTTATGTCTTTTTATCAATTCATCTGTTTGCTTCTTTGTCTATCCATCGATGGATTCATCCATCAAGCTATCAAGCTATCAGTCTACTAGTCTATCTATCAATCCATCAATCCATCAATCCATCAATCCGTCAATCAATCGATCAATCGATCGATCGATCCATGCATCCATCAATCCATCAATTTATCAGTGTATCAACCTATCAGCTTATCCACATATCAACCTTTCAGCCTATCAGCCTATCAATCTAGATAGATAGACAGATAGACAGATAGACAGATAGACAGATAGACAGATAGATCGACGGACGAACGGACAGATAGATACACATCATATATATATATATACATAATTATACATAGTATATACACACATATTTCGGATATCGCTATGCAAGATATTTTCTCAGCTTTGCATAATATGATCATTTCATGTAGTCCAAAGCAGTGGGTTGGAAACCTCCTTTGCATCAGGAGCTTTCGAACAAGCCGAAGCTGCCTGCAAGCATGGAGCAAGAACTCAAATATCGAATGCTCCTAGTGCTGTTGATTCGAAAGAGGCACTGTCAAAAGATGTCTTGCCTCCTGGATCTCCTTTGAAGGTGAAGGACTTCTCTGGCTATCACTCTCGCTGGCATCATAGAGCTCTGGGAGGTCGCTGTCGCTATCATCTGTGGATTCCTTGAGTGGTGAGGGTGTAACAAGAGGTCAAAATAGGCTGGAACAATATGGATCAAGCACTGTCAATCATGACACCAGCAACGCCATACCAAGCCAAGACCACCGTTTCCTTTCTGACGCAAAAAGTGTGCAAGAAAACGAAACGAAATAAGTTGCAGCCTGCTTAGGTTCTGGACATATTCCCTCACCCATGGACTGTCAACAGAAAAGGCCATCTCAAATTCAACTTGGCTTCCTCCATTGCCTGGGGATGCTTCTCCTGCAATTCCTGATGCTTTGCATCAAGACGTCGCGACGTTGCCTTGAGTACTTTTCCAGAATTGGAAGTGAATTGTGTTTTCAGGTATGATAGAACAATGAAAATTCAGAAAAACATAGCTAGACTTAGTTGCTTATGATATATATCTGGCAAAACTGTCTGTGAGAGGACAAAAGCAGACACCTCAAAAGCAGACAACTCCACCCCATTCCTATTCCAACATCCCTCCTGAGTGGTCACTTCTTGGACCGCGCTCGTCATGGCTGGGTTTGTCCGCTACAAGACCCTCAGGTACCTTAAAGACCTCTAAGCCCAAAGAAGGCATGGAGGAATTGTACACACATGCCTTCAAACAGTCTCTCGTGTCTACTTTGTGAGGCAGCAATAGTAACGACTGTATTGTCCATGTTCCCTTCCGTGCACGCATTCCTTCCTTGATGTCAATTACAAGACATTTTATTGGGAGGCCAGCAAATCATGCCTTGATTCAGCCAACACCGTGGTGCCACACCATGGCTATGGTACCTCTCCTGGGCTACATCCTGTACGCTCTAAGAAGTTTTGATCTTCCTAGACAATTGCAGTCTGGATCAACATAGAAACAAAACTTACAGCCTATTCAAAACAGTGAACCATGGAGCCTTGGAACAAGTGATTGTGGGGAACCCGCTACGTAGCACCTGAGCTTCCTCGTCAGAGCCTTGCATGGAACGAGCGTCCTGCCACAATGAGGTGACTTCGCGTGATTGGGAGACCCCGAAACTTGAACAACACGAGCATCGTGTTCTCAGCTGAACATGAAATGTGCCAGTTTCTTGAAGAATGTTTCTGCGCGAGCCTCGCCTCGCCCATAATCCATTGTTGCCAGCGTCGAGGAGCGAAACCCGAGTTAGCAGTGTCCTAGATCTGGAATGTGAAGAGAAACTGGTGTCTATAACATGTACAGTATGTGCAGTATATGATATGTACGTATGTATGGTGCATATACCATGCATATACCACGCATGCAGTGTCATTATATATATATATCATAAAATATTTTCTATTTGGTATTCAATATACTATCACAACGTGTATATATAGATATATATGTATGTATATATATATGTATATGTATATGTATATGTATATGTATATGTGTATGTGTATATATATACATGTATATATATATATGTATATATATATATATACATCTATATATATATGTATATATATGTAAATATATATATATATACATGTATATATATATATATGTGTGTGTAAATATATATATATATATATTTATTTATTTATTATTTATCATTTCATTCATTCACGCCACTCTGAAGCGTCCAATCTTTATGGGCGAGCGGGGGGCTCTTGCCTCGAAGCTGATCACTACAGCTGTTGCTGCAGTCTCGCGCCACAAAAGGGCTTACACGAGCACGGCCCCAAAAACGCCAAAGCACACGACCAGTCCGCAGGGAACTTACACAGCCGTGACTCTGCGTACGGAGGCCTGCTGACTTCCAAGCGAAAGCTGGCAGCAGCTGTACAAGCCAAGCGTTTACTCTCTCAGAAGAAGCCTTTTCACATGTGCCATCTCACATTTCACTCAAGGCATCTAGCATGGATTGAATTTCTCTTTCATTCCCTGATCGTGGAGCAACTCCTCTTTTCAGAACTGCACCTTGTCCTTGCAAAGCTTTTGTCACAACGGTGAGGATATTTTCAACGGAATGGTGAACACACAAGGTAAGACGCATTTTCTTGGCATCAAAGCACTTGCGGCACTTGGCGACCAGAATGCTGGGCTCAAGAGTTTTCACCGACTCTGCATTCTGGAGATGGATGGACAATAGCTCCTTCTCCTCAGCAGTGATATGGTTCGACTCGATGAGGGAATGCACTAACGCAGCCCATGCATGAACATGTGGTTCACCAAGGCTATCACATTCACGATTTTTTCCATCCTTCCGGAACTCGGTGGCTTTAGTGTTGTGAGCCTGTGTTGCAGCTGACATAGCACCAACCACCGTGGTGTCTTTTGGGATCAACAGGGTGGTGAGGATTGCGCTCTGCAGTTCACGGATGTCAGAGCAATTTTTGAGAACTGACTTGGCTAAGAGGACTGTCAGCTTCCTCTGGTTCTCGGCATGGATTTCATGGGCTGGGGGATCAACACGTTGTCTGCGAAACGGTGGGCCATCCTCGTCGCCAACACCAAGTAGCCACGACGGAGCAGACATGGCAGTTGACTCCTTATTGATTTTGCCGAGCAAAAAAGGCTGCAGGAGTGTCGTGAGCAGCAATATGCTGCAACAAATCGTCCGTCGAATGTCTTTCCTCTTGACAGACTGGACACTGCAAAGACTTGGGAGGCAAAATGCCAGGGTTGAACGCAGAGCCTTTGCCCGTACACTGTCCACGCTCAAATGAAGCTTTGATGTGATGACTGGCCGATACTCTTGTTGAATACTTACAACGACACCAAGGGCGTATATTTGACACAGCAGCCAAAGAATAGATGGGACGACGTCCATGGTCGCCACCTCTAGAATGCAAGATGTGGGCAGACAGCTGCACTTGGGTGGCAAATTTCTGGTTACACATTGATCCGTCTGCACACAGCAGATTACATACATAAGGAATATCATCAGGAACCAAGAAAACCTCTTGTGCATCCAAAGTTGGGGGTACCCATTCAGGAGGTGGAATTTCATGCCCCAAAAATTTGGCGCGAAATTCAGTGACATCAATTCGCAGAAAATCTTCACGAAATGTTGAGAAAATGAGTAAAACTCGACCCTGCACTTGAGAAGCGAGAAAAGTCCCAGAGTCCAATTCACCCAGTGCATCAATGTCAGTGGCAAACTGCCGAAGCCAAGGATTAGCTGTAGCTGTCGGCTTTCCACTGCCGTCAATTGAACAATGTTGTTCGAAATCAAACTGACCAAATAAGCAAGCAAACAATAAAGAATATTTTTCAGGAAATTTTGCAGCGTTCTGCCAAAATTTGAGTCGGCGGATTCGTAACTCGATCCGGGCAGGGACCATATACAAAAACCGCCAAATTTCCAATGACGGGAGAGCCTTGTATTTTGTACCTGCCTCAGAGGAGAACTTGTGGCACGCGGCACCATGCATGAGTTTTCGACCTCGTTTGAGTATGTATTTGTCCAAGCGATCAACATGAGTGTGTGACAAACACAACGCTTCCAGTCCAGACATGAGAGTTGAATACACCATTCCTTTAAAAATAAGAACAAGGGCAGTTCTACGTAGTCCTTGCCGAAACCAGAGCTGACCCATTGCATACCATCCAATATCAGCTTTTTGCACTCTGTTGTCGATTTCAGCACTATCATTGTTACGGAAGTGGTGCAAAGAACCCAAGTAGCGAGCAGCAACACAGGTTTTACCAGGAAGGACCTCTCCTGCAAAAACTTCACGGGTGTAGCTATCGGAGTGGCAACCCACAAAACAAGGTACATGTTCTTGCTTGTCCAAATTTTGAGCAACACCAACAGTATCCAGTACCGGACAAAGCTCTCTGTTAGCATGTTGCAGTTTGTGCATCAGTTCGTGTACTGTGTCACACACCACAGTTCGCGCCAAATCGTCAGCATATGTGGAAATAGATGCGTCGACATATTGTTCACAAACAGGATCATATACCAGAAAATCCTGCGGCTCTGTCTGGCCCAGTGTATCCATCCAGTAATCAATTGCGGGGTGATACTGTTCCAAGAATTGTTCTCCGGCATGTCCATCCCCTTGCAAAGACCCTGAGCCATTACAAAGATACACCTTTGTATCAGCTGCCTGTATACAGAGTATTGCTGTATTGTTTCGTTGTTTAAGAATGTTAGCATCGCAGCGTCTACATGTACGATCAACAACTTGGTCACAAACACTCCGTACAACACTGGGGAAAGCATTAGTTGCATCATAATAAGAATCACAATGGCTCTGGCCCACAGCTCGCAGTCGATGTTTGAGAATGCGCCGGTGCATGATAGGGGTGATGCGTGACTTGTGTTGTATGTAGCCAGAAGCCCAGTGTCGATCGCACGATCGGACGCCCTTTTCCCAAAGACACTTGACATGTTTCTCACAGTGGCTCGAATGTATTGATGGTTCTGAGGCCGGCGCAACCAGTTTTTCCATTAGCTTTGTCGATTTGAAAAGTTTGACTGAGATTCCATTCCAAAGGTGTAAAATCATACAGCCGGATTGACAAAAACAAAACGTACAGACATGTGCGAAACAAAGTGTTGTCCAACGTGTCACAATATCCCACACCCAGTCGGCGAGGTGCAAAAAAAACATTCGGAAAAGCCAGCTGCCGCCAAATTTCACCAGGAATTGCCTATTCAAGTACAGTGCGACGCAACTTGTGTAAGCGGAGTTTGTAAAAAAAACACTGTGCAAATCGGCCAAAGCCAGCGAACGAGCTTGTTGATATGTGCGAACAGGTGCGTGATGAGCAACCAAGGTATTGTGTTGAACTGTTTCCCAAGTGATTTCTTGCGCTGAACAACCTCCATCCTTTCCTGCCTGAGACAAATGTTGTATCCAGTCAGCGGCTTCTGGTCGGCAGGCCTGTGGTTTGTCATACCTTCGGCGTTTTGGCCCCACCTTGTAGCCTGACAACAAGCGTCCCAGTTTCCAAACATTGGCTGCATCATGTCCATGTACTGCATAATTAAATTCAACAATACGATCGGCCAAATGTTGACGCTTGTCTCGTTTGAGCAACTTGTCCCTGGCGTCTCGCGTAGCAAAAAAATGAACAGATGTTTTCCATTGAAAGAAAATCTCCGACAGAAACTGGTGAGAATGACCACGGTCGCAAACTTGAACAACACTTCTAGGGAGGGCAGCAAGACTTGCCCGAGCATCTTGATGTCTTTGTATTGCTGCCACGGTGTCGCGTGGCCTTTCAAACTGTTTGGTTTGTTGTTGGGAATACAACGCGCAAGCAGGCTCTCGTATTGCTTCCCGAATGGAAGTCCAAATCTGGTCAGGATAGGGAACCGCTTGTGTAGGGGAGAATGTTGCATATTGTGCCAAATGTGTGTCATCCAATCGTTGGTTGACCTGGTAAACCAACTCAGACCGCCGGTCACCTCGCAGCACCCCATCCACCAGGCGACTCGTATTCCACACACATCTTTGACTACTTGTAAATCCAGAAAAATGGGAATGATGTTGTGGAATAAGGTTGACAGGCATGTGATCACGCTTCCCAGGCCCAAAAACACGTTGCAGACGTTCTCCCAGTGTATACATGACAGCACATGAAAGAATACAAGGCAGCAGGCTCTGTGGAATACAAATGTGATCAATACGTGATTTGACCCCAGCCACATTGCCAAAATATGTATACCCAGGGCCCCGGAAAGAATTAGCTGAACATAGGTGTTGTCGCTCCAGCATTTGTCTGAAAGCAAGCCCGCTAGAGTTTTCAAGTTCAGGTGTAAGTGGACCAATAGCAGGGGACCCAACAGACTGAAGCAAACCATGTTCAGCACGACATAGCCCATTCTTTGCATTGGAGTCTGTAAGGATGATAGGAACACAGCGATGAGGCAGTTCTGATACAATTTTGTCAATGTATTTCCAAAAACTGGTTGTTCGAGTTTGCTCAGCCACCGTCTGCCTATGTACCCAAGGGTATGCCACGATAAAGCAAAAATCACAGTCACCTCTTTTGACCCGAAGTATGCCCATCCTCCCCTGGTATTCAGAAGGAATATCGTATACCCGCCGTACATTGTAATCACCAAAAACTTGCTTGCGAAGATACAATGCAACACCAGCAGCATGCTCAGACTTGCCTGAGTGCCCCCATTCATAAATGTGAAACGTACCAACCTGTGATTTGCAGCATGCAGGATCCTCTCGCTGTCGTTTTCGTTTTGTGCCTGACAAACCCAACACGTGATACCCAGCAAATGCAGTTGCAATCTCTTCTTTACGTGATATATATATATATGTGTGTGTGTGACTCACATGATGATTGGCGCAGAGATGCATCTCTGCTTCGTCACTGATGTTCATTCCCGAACATTCTTCGTCGTTTCTCCTCCGATCACTCTTTGATTCAATCAAATGCAAAATAGATCAATGTAACAATTACACACGTGCCACCAGCTGCTGCCCCCGCCCATCCACCCACGGGCAGCAGATCAGATTTATTTTTCTCTCCGGTGCTGCAAGGTCAGCAGCAGCCGTACGTGGGCTGCTGTCCTTGGTGTGACTGGGCGATCACATGCCCACATGCGAATGGGGGGCCCTCCCCCATTTACAATGAACATGAGCACCGCCGGTGAATCCCCATCAGTTTGCCAACGGATTTGAAAACATGGTGGTCTCCATCGTTAACTTACCTCCCTTGAGGTGATGAAACCAACACAGTCTTCTCCCCCCATCCCAACCCACACTGGTGGGACGGCAAGACGTGGGATCAACCGTGGAACGTGCAGTGTGGTTTGATGGGGGGCCCCTCCATCTTAGACATGGGTGTCATACCCAGCTTTACATAATTTAGATTCTTCCCATGAACTCCCCTTGGAGAAAACCTTAACCATCCAAATAAATACTTAAACCAAGTCAACTTCCCTTTTCCTAATCACCAAGGCGCAGCTTGTCCCTTTTGGCATCCTTGCCGCGGCTTGGAGGTCGATCACGCCGTTCTGAAGCACCTGTGGCATAGTTCGCTTCCGGCAGCTACAAAGGCTCCAGCCGTGCCTGTTCCAGACCACTTCCAGCCACACAGGGTTGTCCAGGTGTCCGGCGGGCCCTGCGTCTGTGTCGGTCGGTGGAGGGTTCCGGTCAGTCCGTGCCTGGCGGTCATCATCTGCCCTGCACGGGCCTTATCCGTCTGTGTCCGGCTCAGGCCTTGCGTCCTCCATCTTGATCACCGGCCTGAAGTTCGTACTCATCAGGTTCCCGGTGTGCCCTGCTTCGATGGAGGCGGCCATTGCTGCCGAGGCTTCCGCTGCCCGGACCAGCGGTGTGTCGCGCAGGTATATCAGCATGGCGCTGGTGCTGCTCCATCGGCCCAGGGCCCGCACAGTCTCTTCACTCACTCCTGCTTGGAATGCCCACAGCGCCCTGGTTACCCTGAGGCTGTGCGTCCCAAACCGTTGGGCCCCGTGTGCCTCCAGTGGCTCTCCTGCCGCAGCGGCCACCCTTTCCACTGCTGCCTGGATCCTGGCCTCAGTGATCCGGTGTCCCGCCTCGTCTATGAACAGCGGGGCATTGTCGTTGACTACGCCCGTGGTGCGCAGTCGTTCCTTCCTGAAGAGGGAATGGGCCCACAGTAAGTGAACCGGGCAGTACTCCGACTCCCTTTCGCTGGGGCAGATGCAGTCACGTGCCACCGTTGCTCCCTGGCCTTGCTGGTTCGCTTTGGAGCTGGCCACTTCCAGCGCCAGTTGCCACCGCTGGCGCGGTCCCTCATCATTGGTCGCTGGGAGCAACCCCGGCTCATCGACATCCGCCTGACTGGGAGGAGTCTCTTTGCCCACACTCGACACACGCATGCTTCTGTTTGCACTGATCACCAAAACCGGCATCCCAAAGAGCAATTGTAGAACGGGCAGCGCCTTGGGCCAGAGTACTTGAAGGCAGTGATCGACTGCCACTCCTTGGCTGGAACACGCTCGTCTCGCGAGGGCTTCTTGGAGCTTGCATGTTTGTCCCCCCCGCTGACGCAGCCAAGGTAGCTCTTGCTTTCTGGAGATGGAGCTTCTGGCGAGCGCGGCGCGCCTTGTTCTTCTTGGCCTTCGGAGAGCTCTTTGGTGGTGAACGCGATGCCGAACGTTCCCTCTTCTTGGAAATTGGGGTCGCTGGAGCTGAGGTCTGCAGAGCTTGTTTGAACTTGTCCAGCTCTGCACTGGACCTGGCATCATTCCAGAGCTGCTTGTGATTGGTGAGCACCTCCCGGAGCGCAGCTGAGAAGTTGGTAAACTTCTTCCGCTGGTCTGAGCTGACCCGATGCACCTTCTTGCGGATCAAAGTGTCAACTGTGAGCAAAAAGAGCCAGCCCGTGATTCTCATGGCGCCACTCTTCGAGCTCCGCCAGATAGCGCCATGGTCCGGCATCGAGGGAGAACTCGCAGATGTTGAGGTACTCGGGCGTGATGAAGAATGCATGCAGCTCGTCCATCACTTGTGACTCAGAGCTTGCGGCAGCTGGTTGATCAACCATAACCACTCTCAACAGATCCTCTGCATTCTTGGAGAGCCCTGTCTTTTGCGCAATCTGCTCAGTGCGCGTCCTGATCTCACCCAACCAGGAAATCGCGTTGCACAAGCAGAACATCAGGATGCCTGTTGACAAACACCTCTCTGAATTCTGCATGATCTTCACCAGGTATCTCTGGGACCTTCGATGGATCTTCCTCCATCTTCGCCCGGCGAGAAGCAAAGTGATCCTGCATGGTGCTGCAGGTCTTCCACACCGCAGCCAGTGAGGTGAGAGTCTTGAGCAGGTGCATCTGTGCCAAAACGGGCATGGTCCGGCACTAGATTCTTGAGCGTAGCTTTGACGGAGGCGATATCATCCCCGAGCATAACAAAGGTCTCCACTGTGAGCAGCCCAGAATCTGCGGCGAGCTTGCAAAGATCTTGATTCACTCGCTGGCGACCGAACACTTGATGCAGAGGCAGATCTGGAGTCTTATCTGCATCATAGACCGTACGGTCCACCATGATCACAGCAAATGAAAACAGACAATTGCGACTGAGCTGAAAGACAAGCTGCAAACGAAATGAAACAAATAAAGAATTGCACCCATGCGAGAGCAGCCTACACCGCGTGTATCACACGACTAGTTGAGCCAAGCCGCTACGATGGGTCTGCCAGGGCCAACCCTGGGCGAGCTCGTGCACAATGCTTGCACAGGACCGAGGCGTGGGGCAAGAAGGAGCCCACATCCGTACAGTCGCTGATCTGCACCCGACCACAAGCCAGCAGGGAGTCATCATCCTCTGCTGCGCAATGGTGCCTATGATCATAGGATGATCTGGCGCCATCGGTCTTCACATAGAAGTGCACTTGGTCGAAGGAGGACTGATCAGCTGCATCGAGCTCCACGTTGTCCTCGATCTCAACTCAGGGTGGCTCTGTGTGAGCATGTCTTGAACTAGCTGCTGAACCATTTTGGCAGGAATGACTGATCGGTTCCTGGTGTACTTCAAGACCAAGGGACCAGGATTTTTCCAGTTAGCCTGGAGGCCGATCTCGTCCGTGCTTCTGCCAGCATGGACTGCAGCATCCAACATAGTGACCCTAGCGGAGTGCGCCGTGAGCTGCAGCCAGAACCTTGAACTCCTCAGGGGTTCCTTCGTGATAGTGGTTCAGAGCATGCTTGGCAAAGTGCTGCAGCCACTGGAGCGAGCGCTGGTATTGAGCTGGCATAGATCTAAAGGCTTCACAGGTGTTGAGATCCCTCATCCAAAAATGCCTATTTAGATCTGAAGGAAGCCCCACCCCTCCCGGAGCCAATCGACCCCAGAAAAACCAACATGGGGGACAACAAACTTAGTTCCCCTACGCTTCCGTTCAACTTTGGTTTGCCAAGCCCCGCCCTTGTGGCTTGACATGCATCGCATCATCATACCGGAGCGAAGCAAAGACCATGCACAACCACCACCAAACAAAAAGCCGAGCTGCTTCTGGTTCACCCACATCCATGACCAAGAGCTCAAGACATTTGACCACTTCTGTGGGGATTGGCACGGCCTCTTTGAGCGTTTTGGCCCGCTTGCTGATCACCTCATTCTGAATAGCAAGGAGGCCAGCATGATCAACATCTGGGCAATCGATGGCCAGCTTTGACGTGACCCACTTGACCGATGTACGAAATGTCGGAATGACCGACGGGCCACCCTCATTTTTGTCTAAATGCAGAGCATACTGAATGAGCTTAGCACTAGCAACAGGATGCAGATCAATCTCCCTACTTTCAGCCCAGTCAGCAAACCGTTCCCAGTTTGAAACATGAACAGCCATTGTCCTCGGAGCTCCTGATGAGAGCACCAGCTGTCTGAGCCGCGCAATCTCAGCTGCTGAGAGCCCGCTCTCATTCGTGGTCTGCAACAAGAGCTTGGAGAACGACCCTGCCTTCTTCCCAGTCTCCTCCAGGCGAGCAGCCCACTTCCAGCGAGCACCATTTTCCTGGTCGAGCAACGGGATGGCTGAAGCTGGGCCGGCTGAAGTTTTTAAGAGCTTCTTGGGGGGATGAGCAGGCCTTTCTGTCAGAGCCTTGATGGCCCCTACCCTTCTAGCCCGAGCAGTCTCCGCACTAGTGGGGGGCATGGGCGTCTCACACAACCCAAACCCCAACTGCGTGACCGTAGGCTCCATGAAGGGCTTCTCAAATGAAAAAGCTAGGGTCCAGAACTGCTCTAACATGAAAGACGACTGCAACAAATCGTCCCTGATCTCTGCATGCAGTTGCGGGGCCCACACTCACCTTCAGAGCAAACTCCTGTGCCGAACGCACCTCCATGGCCAAAACGAAGGCCAAGTTGGCAAATGGCGATTCGAGCACAGCCTTAGAGAATGCATCTGAAAAGATTGGGAGGGCCACTATCTTGGTGGCCCACCTGTCGGCCATTTGAGCCATTTCTGAACTGGCAGTGCAACAGTGCAACATCAGTGAACCTCCATGTGCACCTAGAACACTAGTTGACCTCCTTCCTTAACACCAAGGTCTCCCCGACCACTCTTCACGAGCAAATACTTCCAAAGATCCAACACATCAACTACCTCATGAACCCTCAAACCAACTACCCTCAGCAATTGCCCTACCAGATCAAACCGAATCTGAGGACTGAAATAAAATAGAACTCTTAGTCACGCAGACTCACGTTCGATCTGAATTCCCACAACTCTGAGCACCGTGCCTGAGCTGATGGATTGAACAAACAAAACAGGGCAAACAGGGTAGTGAAAATGGGAGAGTGAGGTAACATGCAACATGATCATGTGTCCATGCATGCACTGACCTACAGTGATCAAAATTAAATCAACGTCCTCACGACCGCCCTTCCCGAGCACATGAACATGTGACACTGGACCATCATGCATCATGGAACATGACATGAGCAAAAACAGACCAACTACCCCTACCACTGCCACACCAGATCAAACCGAATCTGAAGACTGAAGCTGAACAGAGCTCTCAGTCACACAGACTCCCGTTCGATCTGGGTCCCCGCATCTCTGAGCCATGTGCCTGAGCCAAGGGAAACATCAAAAAGAAAAGGGCAGTCAGGGCAGTGAACAAAGGAAAATAAAAGAGGGGGGGAGCTTGCGCAAATGATCACGGTGGCAGTGAACACATGCGGTCTCACTGATCACAACCTCGCAGCACTCCCAATTTTTGGACTGCAGAACGATGGCCGTCTAGCGGCAAGTTGGCTCGTGAGCTATTCCCAGCTGGCAATCTTAAATGAACCAACTAATCAACAGTCTTCGACCCCGGTGGCCTCATCCACTGCCTCGATGACCGGTGTCGGACCATATATGAACGAGGCACCGAACGCGTAGAGCCTTCAGGGCCTAGAAAAGCCATGCCTGACTTCACTGAGTGAACCTGAGACACAAAGGCTTGCGGGGTCACTGCCGCTTCAGCCATAGACTCGTTGAGCCTGGTCTCCAAGAAAGGCCTCTGAACATGGAGCGTCTTGTCACCCAC